GGAGTGGAAGGGACATGTACTCCCTCCTGGCTCCTCCAGAAGCCGGTCATCACAGGCACTGCCACTCCTGTCAGGGTCCCCACGTCCTTGCCCCCCCCAGGCCCTTGGGCCAATCTCCACCACACGGCCACTTCTTAGAGGTCACCTCCCAGTCCCTCAGGCACTGACCTGGCTCTCTGTTCTTCCCAGAGGCCCTGGGTGCTGGGACAAGGAAGCTCGAATGCCAGTGTTGCCCCAGGCGCCTGGCAGTGGTTGTTTCTGGCTTCTTCCTCTCTGGTTCCTGCCTATCCCACTGTCCCTCCCAGGGTGGCATCAGCCTGATCTCCAGAGGGCTGCTGGGACATGGCTGGGTCCAGGGGTGCAGGCCACCCCGCTTTTCCCAACCTAGGACCTGGCACAGCTGAGAGCTGGGAGGTAGTAGCGGGCACCGGTGCATGGGCAAACAGGGCAACTCCGGAGCTCGACCGCAACAGACAGAAGGTGGCCCTGGGAGGGGACAGAAGCTGGGTTCTGAGGTTGGACAGCTGTGTCCCAGCAGGGTGACTTCAAGGAGGGGAGCTCCTGAGCCTTGGCTCCCTAGGTGAGCAGTTGAGCACCCCAGGAGGGAGTGGGGACACAGCAGCAGTTCTGATGGCCTGAGTGGGAGCTTAGCTCACACACGAGCATGGGGATGTGGACATTGGGCCACCGACTCCATGCCAGGCCTGCCAAGTACTGGGAGAGAAAGGGAAGGAGAAAGGAGGAAGGACCACCCCTCAGACAGCTTGGGCTAGAGAGGAAACATTTTGCAGACTGAGCACCCACACTGCCTGATGAAGGGAGACTCTGTTGTGTCCCAGTTTACACATGGGGAAACTGAGGCTCCATGTTGCAGGAAGGCAGCCCCTCCAGCACCATGGATAAGAGGCCAAGCCCGCCTGTGTCCTCCTCTGAGCGGTCTCTGTTCCGGTCACCACTCAGGATTCAGGCTGCCCGGGCCCACGGCCCCCTGACCCTGCAGTGTCTCACCCCTAGCTGGGACCGGTATACACGGAAGGGGGATTCGTGGAAGGTGTCAACAAGAAGCTCAG